AGAATTTTTCCTCGAACAAGTAGGGAGCTTATACTTGCTCTAATGGCTTTTTCGTTTTTGGCAGTGAACGCAGCCTCTGTCGGCCTTCTACAAATGGGATCACTTCCTGAACTTTTCAAAGAATTGGAAAAGCTTGGCATCGACTCCTCGAATAATGTTATCCTTGAGCGCTATATCAATTCAACACAACCGGATATGCACAACTCTTCAGTATTCAAAATACACTGTGATAAGTTTTTGTAATGACCCACTACAACTTCCTGTTCACCACTTCTCACATCTACTCCAACGGCTTTGATCTGGATTTTTCATGCCTATACACTCGACCACTGCGAAATGTGCACATTCCTACATATTCGTTCAATCGAAGATCTATCTGGTTCACGGACAAACCCCTGATATTCGACCATTACCTTCTTGGGACAGTGAAAAGAGAAACTGAAGCATCAGTGGTTTTCCGAAATTGGCTCGACATTCTGCGCCACCCACTCTTGTTCATGAGCAGTTCTGTTCCGAAAGGCGTTGTAATAGAAATCGCTCATGCTGCTCTCACTAAGGAGAATTGCGACAGTTTGTGCATCACGGATGTTCGAGTAGCTCCGTTGAATATCGTCTCTCCTTGCTTGTTGGAGACCGAGGTGAAGAGGATAAATGGTTATCGTGTGGTATCCGCACACGTGAATAAACGCAATTTTTTTATTTGTGTCGCCTCAGCAATGGATGGAGGTCAAATGGAAAATGTTAACGCAGAGCTAGACCGGCTTCCTAAAACAGGTGAAGCTGCCGCAGAAACGCAACCGCTGCTCTTTCCTGAGCTTCAGTCTAGAATTCTCGTAACGGAAGATCTAAGCTATGCATCTGTGAGTATCGATCACAATGAGTCCCCTTATTTCACTGCCACCGAAGTTTCTCTGAAGATGAATCCTGGAATGGAGCTAGGTTCCGTTCATTGCATTTCTCGTCTACCGCTGAATTTTGACATCCAGAGCATAAGAAGTGGGAAGAGAGCGCTAGTACTGGTCAAATCGCAATATAAAACATTAATGCTTGTTTATTTGTGTGCTCCCCAGTGTCGAGGATCTACAGCATATCTGGAAAAAATAATACTTCCCGTGAACTACTCGATGGACTCAATGAGGAGCTCAACATCAGCAGAAAATGGCTACAAAGAATTCGCGAATTTTGCCTCTCAAAATTTTCAAGATTATCATCGCCATATTAGTGACTTACTCTCCTTTGCGCTCGGTCACGTCCACGTCCACGTTCACTCCAAAAATCACGTCAAAGACCGCACTTCACTTGAAACGGAGAAGGAGGGCCTACTTTATCCAAGGAGCAACGACGTTGACAAAGTATTGCGCTTCGTTAGGCGTAGCACAGATTCAAGACTGACTTCCACGTCTGAAGCAACCAAAAAACAACTTCATAACGATAAAGACGATGATCGGACATCTTTCCTCACCGACACCTGTGACAACAAATTGATTTTTTCGCATCCTGGTCTGAAAACATCACGCTCACTTGATGGACTTCGAGCGTGCTCACCAGCACCACTACCTTCCCATGGCAACAGCGCCAACAAAACGACGGACATAAATACAGAAGGCTTTGAAATCATTATTCCGGTAAGCAAAAGAAGTATCAGGAAAGTCGAAATCGTAATCGACGAAATTTGTTAAACTGCAAGGCGGACAAAACTTTGGAATCCGTCCTGAACGCTACTCAGGATGTTCTTTCTCAGCAAATTCCGATCAATGACGAAACACTATCTATGGGGTTCATAGATTTGGGTTTGGATTCGCTGAACATGGTCGAGTTCGTGAGCCGTTTGAATCAAAAATACTTTCCAGGAATGGATATTTCTACAGCAGATATTTTCGACTATCCTACAATAATGCAACTTGCAGAGCATATCAGAGAGTCGAAGGCCCACATTCTTGTGGAGGATCATCCAAGAGAAAAATCACCAATCTGCAAGTTGGATAGAATTGAGGAAAGGGTGCTGAACGCTACTCAAGATGTTCTTTCTCAACAAATTCCGTTCAATGACGAAACACTATCTATGGGGTTCATAGATTTGGGTTTGGATTCGCTGAACATGGTCGAGTTCGTGAGCCGTTTGAATCAAAAATACTTTCCAGGAATGAATATATCTACAGCAGATATCTTCGACTATCCCACAATAATACAACTTGCAGAGCATATCAGAGAATTGAAAGCACACAACCTTGTGGAGAATCATCTAGGAGAAAAATCACCAAATTGCAAGTTGGATAGAATTGAGGAAAGGGTGCTGAACGCTACTCAAGATGTTCTTTCCCAACAAATTCCGATCAATGACGAAACCTATCTATAGGGTTCATAGATTTAGGTCTGGATTCGCTGAACATGGTCGAGTTCGTGAGCCGTTTGAACCAGAAATACTTCCCGGGAATGAATATATCTACACCAGATATTTTCGACTATCCTACAATAAGGCAACTGGCTGCATATATCAAGAAAAACGACCGGCAGTCTGTTTCAGAAAGGCATTTCTTCAATCCTTCGTCAAACAGAGAAATACCAGTATGGCAAGAGATCATTTCCACGACTGTAGTGCCTATGTTGAGGTTTTCGAAGACTCTGATGTCCATGCGGATGTTTTGCTAACATCTTGGAACGCTAGTGTTCTTTCTGTCATTAATCTTCATAATGGCTCCAAATTGCAGTTCGATTCTACTCAGTCACCTGCTCTCGATTTCTCTCGGATCATAGCAAATGGAGCCATTGTCAAGTTCCACTCTGAAGCTACGATACAGCCAAAGTCACTGTTTTCTTCATTGCTCTGCTTCGCGCATCAGGTTTGCTCCACGGGTCTTGAACTACGTGTATGTGTATCGAACTCACCAACACTTGCAAATGCTCTTGCTCGCAGTTTCTTCAAAACATTAGCAGCGGAAAAATACCCGAAAATTCAGTACATCTACACCGAACGTTTGCTGAAATTGAACTTGTCATTTGATGAACCCAGTTCAAACATCGGAGGGAATTGGCTCATAACGGGAGGGCTTTCCGGCATTGGATTGACCATAGCAAAATGGCTTGTGCATGAATGTTCAGCCGAGAACATAGTTCTGATTAGTCGACGCGTTCCGGATAAGGATCTCGCCACGCAGCTCGATGAGCTTCGTCAAAGAACAAATGTGGTAGTAATCAGCGCAAGTGTTGCAGACCTCAAGAGACTGCAAAGAGAATTTACAAGTATTCCCTTCAAGATCAACTGGCGTTATTCACAGCGCCGGAGTTGTTCGTGATGGTGTCATGGAGCGGCAGACTTCAGAGACCTTCTCTGACGTTTTCACACCCAAAGGAGACGGATATCATGCTATAGACACTCTTTTGCGCGACAATGGACACCATTTGGACCACTTTATTGTGATGTCGTCTTTCACAGTTATTACTGGCAATGTTGGACAACTAAACTATGGGGTCTCCAACGCCTACCTTGATCATCAAATGTATCTGCGTCGGATGGAAGGAAAGCCAGGGACCACGATTCATTGGGGAAACTGGTTGGATACAGGCATGGCACGAAGAGTACAAAGAACACTGACTAACAACGGTTTCCTGGGACTTGCGAATGAAGAAGCTCTGAAATACCTAGGATACGCAATACTTCACAAAACCTTATGAGCTGACAGTAGCAAAACTGGACTGGAAGACAGTATTGAAGAAACGTCCAGATATCAGACAAGACATCGTGATGGAAGCGCCGGATGGGACAAAACACAGGCGCAGACCTCTACGAGGGTTTTGGAGATCACTTAGGATATAATGAGCTAGGAAAATCTCATTTCTTTAGGAAAGAGCATGACCATAGCCGTCCTCCAACAGGACACTACTCAACAAAAGGCGAGCCCCTTCTAACTGATAAGGTCAGAAGGAAGATTTCGGAAGATTATCCTGCTTCCAATGCAGTGACAGTTGAAAAAGCTGGACCGACTAGCGCGATATGCAATGTGTTCGGCCTCAATGTGTTTTTCGACGACGAAGACGACTTTCGTGAGTCTGTCGGCTCGGCACATTGTTAGCCTTATCACGAGACCATCGTTTTCGCTGCCCTTGCGGTCCTCCAAACCTTACGTCTTGCATGTGATGGGTAACTCTTTGCAGAACAGTGGGAGCCCAACTGAAAGGCGCTCGTCTATGAACCAGGTAGGAGCAAGCCTCGTGGAAAGAGCGTAATGTTGTTTACAGGACAAGGTTCCCAATATCCATTCATGGGTAAGCAGTTAAGCACAATGTTCCCAGTTTTTCCGAAAAGAATTTGAAAGATGCCTCCGTTTAGCGGACATCCACAGACGGGAGAGGTAAGTAATATTAGCCTCATGGGAATTCTCGATAATCCTGACAACGCTTTGCTTCTACAGTCAACAAGTGTTACGCAACCATTGATGTTCGCATTCGGCTATGCTTGCGCAATGCTGTGGCAGTCTTTTGGTTTCAACGTGGACGTGTACTTGGCGCCAGTAGTGTTTTTAGGAGAGCTGGGTTTGCTGGGAGTAATGCGTGGAATCATGACTCTTTGAATGAAGAGAATATCATTGTAGTGGAACGAGGAGTCGCTTTGGAGAGGGCTGCTAATCGAGGAGCCTTGTTGGCAATAGACAGCAGAGCCGAGAAGGACTAGTTGAAGAACTTCAATGTTTCTTGGCCGCAGTCAACAGCTCCAAGACAAGTGGTTATTGCTGGGGCACAGGAAGAACTACTCAAAGTTATGCACTATATGAAAGCTAGGAATATTCGGGGCAAGCTTGTCAATCCAAAATATCCTTTCCAACAGCTCTCGGCAGGTGAGAGAACGACCTCAGAGGAACTGAGAAAACTTCTGGGAATCATCGGAAATCAGGGAAGCTCGGCTATTCGTATCATTGTAGCAAACGTATCGCGGCGGTTTTTGATGTTCTCTCAGTATGCTTTTTCAGCAGCAGTACCTAATCGAGCAAACCGTATCACCTGTGCAACTGGTCAAGTGCATACGTAGGCTGGAGACATTAGGAGTAACTACATGGCTAGAAGCTGGTCCAGCCAATACGATGACTTCCTTTCGTAAGGGGAACTCTAGATATTGACGTGGCCAAACAACACAACATTTTACAAACGGCTTCGGACAAAGGAGAAGATGCCCAGCTGGTTGTGGCCGCTGCGCTTGCGCTAGAAAGGCAAGGTGTTCCGATTTCATGGCCTTCATTGTATCAGTGCGAAGTGGATGATGGTCAAAGAAGAACGTCTGTTCTCGAATATCCTCTAGAATTGAAGAAAGCGCTATCAAACGAAGACAAGGAGATTGTACAAGGTCACTATGTTAACAAAGAGAACATCGTCCCAGGTGCTTATCAGGTTTATCAACTGTTAACATGGATCAACGCATGCTTGCCCCCTCTTGAGTACTTCACTTTAACTGGCACAAAATTCGTTAGTCCATGGAAATTCGAGAAAGGAAGAATTCAAGCTAACAGAACTAATGCGAATGTTGTCAAAGTCGAAGTGAACGAGAAGGCGACGTGTATTTTAGCAGATGGGCGAAAATTCAACAAAGGGACCTTATTGTCCCTTTTCTGGACGTAGATGAGAGATCCGAAGGAAATGCACCAATTGACTGCAATGTGCCAACAATTCTACCGTATGATGGCCATAAATGGTCTTGAATACCGCGATCAATTCCAAGTAATCAAGTCGCTCAGAAGAATGGAACGTCATGCACGGTATTCTCTTCATGACAGGTAAGCATCCCAGCGCACCGTGGGTATTATTTGATGCAGCGTTTCATGCCGTCTGTTTCAGCGTAGTCCATCGGAGGCCTGACGTCTACTTCGTTCCAATAGCCGTAGGAGAAATATGGATGAACAATGCCATTGATCTTTCACAAGCGAAGTCAGTTATACTCGTGACGGAAAAGGTGGCCGAAAACGATAAGCTGATCGACGCCCACGCATGTCTTCTTGTTGACGATAAGGTGATCTTTCAGTACAAGAGTAAGCTGAGTATGGTCATAAAAGTCGCTACCGACAGAGGTAACTTTGCCGAGGGAGTCAATCCTCTAGCTACCCTCAGCCATACTCCTAACACCAACCAGTCAAGTGACTTATCAAATGATGACAACGTTCCTGAGAAATCTTCTGAGAAAACTGGCGGCGTCTACATAGTTGGATATGATGGCAGTTTCTGCTTCGATGTCTCTGACAACCTGCAGCTATGGCAAGCCATGAAAACTGGAATTCTTCTAAAGGACTACAAATTCAGGGAATGCCCCGAAGGAAGCCCTGCTTTGATGGACATCGATGTGACCGAATGGGATCCTGAATTTTTCGGAATCAGCCCAAGGGAGGCGAAGTACGTTGATGTGCTTCAACGTTTCATGATGAGATCGTCGCTGGCAGATGAATGGCCAAATGCCGGATGGACCATCATGCCCACAGCGAAACCGGCATATTCATCGGAGTAAGCGGTTGCGACCTTCAAAACAAAATCCCGCGTTTCACTAGTGACTGAAAACCGACCATAAAGCGATTTTTGCGCGTGGGCATCAAGGCCGTCATTGTTGCTGTCGCGCGGACGGCATAGCCCACTGGCTACATACGAGGGCTTGCCGTGGTAGTCGCACAGCATGTTCTTCATGGTTCGTGGCTTTAGGACATACCGCCCACTTAGGATCCTCATGAGAAGAACCACCCAACGGAAAATGTCGTCAACTCCGATTTGTATGGACGAGTATTACCATCAATTCCTTCCTAGACACAAAACAAATCCACCACAGCCTCTGCGAAACGCGCTGGAGTGTGGTCAGCGAAGGAGCTGGCGAGCATTTGACGCGGTGCTGAGCCCGCTCGTTCGTCTGAAGCAGTTGGTTCGTATCCTTCTACTCTAAAAAGCGTGAATGGTGGGGCTTCAGACATATCGTCACGGGCACAGGACACATGGAAGCGGCCAAGTTTCCGTCCCAGTACCTGAGAATGGAAGTTCTCAGAGCGATAATGCGAGCCTTGAACTACAGGGAGATATATCTGATCACGTGATGCCACGGAACCGCGATACCCTCTTTGGGCGACCCTGATAAGAATTCGGCCAGGGTTTCAGAGTGCTATGGAGGCTGTCCTGTCTCCAGCATAAAGAGTCTTCTTGGCCATGCTGAAGCTGCTTCTGGTATTGTCTCGTTGCTGGCTTGTTTGCAGCAGATGAAGCACAATTACAGAGCTCCACAAAGCTGCTTCATATGCGCGAATCCTAAGGCTGAATTCTTCGGCGAAACTAGTCGTTAGCGCAATTGGTGAGGAAATGTAGCGCCCCGACTCCGTAGGCAATCCAATATTCGGATTAGTGTCGCACTAATTGCTCCAATTATTGTGGAGCGTTACAGCCCAACCTCACCCCCGATCCGAACTTCCCGCGTAAGTACTTTATGGCCCAATTTTCTTCCTGCTGACAGACGCCCTGCCCTTAAAACGAATGGTCGCATGAGTTCAGGTCATACTGTGAAGCACAATCTGACCAGCTCATCGGCCATATTTGCACGAAGTTTCAAAAAGGACGCCCTTCTTACAGATACCGCCACTGTATTCTCTACAACTACAAACGGCACCTCGTTTGGGAGACTGGAGCGTTCTTGGATGATGCAGAATCACTCGGACACCTACATCTTCCCCGGAGTTCACGTATGTTCCGACTTTGGCGCATGCTAGCGATTCTGCCGAATATCAATGCAGCAAGTCAAAGGAAAATAAACTTGGGTGACCTCACCCTATCAACAACTCATCTAAGCTGGACCCACCATAACACCCGCTAAATCCTATGAGCTCTATCATTTGCATCATTCATTGCGAACACAGTACCGTTGTGGTCCTTCCATCAATTGCGGAATCACGTGTACACCCTGAGGCCTTGAATAATGATACACCTGTTACCCTCGCGACTCAATAACCGGTTCAACACCAGAATATGGCCTTTGCAAAGACAGCCTCGCAACTGCAATTTTCACTCTCTAATCATGCCCACAGGCAACTCTACTACGAAGGACCCGCTTACAAGCCCGCAGCCTCGACGCGGATCGCGTCTCCTGTTGTGATGTTGGCAGCACTCGCCTTGTTATCAGACATTATACGTATCAGAATTCAGTCTACGGCCCAAGCTCCTCTCGAAAAACGGATAATGTGCCTATCAGCCTCGCTGATTCCTCAATAACAGGAGGCGCTCGAATTGATCGCCGTTTGTGGAAGCCTTAGAGGACCAGGAACGGTTTTCGTGCTGCCCTTATTCCTCTAGACAACAACGGAAACTTCACTACTGAATGGCGCTCCTGTGCCGAACACCTGGCCAGTGACGCGCTGTACCCCCTACAAGTTCGTATTTACTCTCCCACGGGAGTGGAAATCGGAAGCTGTCGTCAAGGCACATTTACGAATGCATTTTCTACGAGGAGGTCGTCGCCGGCTAACGTTGAGAGGTTAGCACCGTTGACGCCGAAGAGAACCCAGTTCAAGTCCCCGCAACATTTACTAATCACAGGTGGTACAGGAGGTATTGGAAAACGTATAATTGAGTTCATGAATGCCAAGAGAACAACAATCGTAAGCAGGAATGGTAAAAAGGACCTCGCTGGGAGGGACGAAGTCAATCGAACATTCATAGAGTCCAATCTGGCCACCTTAACTTTACCTGCGGGTGAAGAGTATGACGTCGTAGTGCATTGCGCTGGAGTGGTGGACAACGGCCTCATGGCGTCGTTGACCACTACTCCCGATTCGGAAATGTATGCAATCCGAAATCGGTTGGTTTCGCCACCCTCCTAGACAGTCTTAAAGGAAGGGATCCGAGGGTGGTGGTGGCTGCCTCGTCAGTGGCTGCGATCCTCGGTTCACGAGGACAGGCAAACTACGCCTTTTGCGAACGGGCTAATGACATCCTTGGCAGAGAAGTCAGAATCACCGACTATGGTGATCCACTGGGGACCGTGGAAGAATACGGGGATGCTACAAGGTGATCATGCTGACAACGTATTCAAGCAGTTACACGCTAATGGCTGGGAGGCACTCGAACCCGTGGAGGCACTGGATGTGTTGAATACGAGTGCAAAAGACGTGGTGGTGTTCAGAGGAGACTTTGAGTTGATAGCCAAACAACAAGAGCATCTGAGGAAGTTCCTGAGTAAGATTGTCCCTCTGGAAATATCTAACCTAGTGGAGGAATCAGTTAGCAAACATGCTATGGTTGAGCCCAGAAAAGGAAGAAATAACAACCGAGCGTCTACTGGAGGAGATTATCGCTCGCATCAGTGGAAGCGATCGAATCTCTGAAGAAAGGCACACCCCGCTGATGAATTTGGGCCTGGACTCGCTAATGATTGAGGAAATTCGCGTCGCTATCAATGAACGCTTCGGTTGTGCTTTGAAAGCTACGGAGATCTACGATAACTGCACATTGAGTAAGTTGGAGAGTTTGGTTGCCAGTCGTGCCAAGCTACAGCCAGAACGAAGCATCACGCCTTCAGAACCCGAAGCTCTACCAAGGTCTAGCCAAAATGGTGATATAGCCATCATAGGGTACAGTGGCTCCTTTTCTGGTTGCAGGAACGTTGAGGAGTTTTGGGAGAATCTTCTGGCAGGGAAGGAGTGCATTACGCGGGCAGAATCACCAGAGGAGGGTTTCGTCGACGCCGCTGGACTGATTGATGACATCGACAAATTTGACCACAACTTCTGGAAAATGACTTCAGACGATGCGTCGATGCTGGATCCTCAGCTTACGCGTTTTCTTACAGCACGCCTACAACTCTCTGGAGAGTGCAGGATATATACGGCAAAGGAACGAGCTCAAGGTGGGAGTATTTGCAGGGGCCGAGCCATCTGAATACGGCGATCCGAGTGAGGAAGCTGAAGGAAGCCTTCACAGACTTTTCAAGCTCAAGCCACTGTTCACTGCACATATGTTGAATCTTCGAGGACCAGCCATCGGGGTTTATTCTGCTTGTTCTACAGCTTTAGTGGCCATCACCCAGGCATGCGATTTCCCTACGGATTATCAAACATAGATCTCGCAATAGCCGGTGCAGTGTCGTTGGTACTGCCAGGTCAGTCCCGTTACGAATTCGAGGAAGGCCTGGTGTTGTCGAAGAGTGGAGTCTGCAGGCCTTTCGACAGCAAAGCAGACGGTACTGTGAGAGGTTCTGCAGTTGGATGCGTCGTACTGAAGAAACTCGATAAGAGCAATTCAGGACAAAGACACCGTTCATGCTGTGATTAAAAGCTATGGTCTGAGCAATGATGGCTTACACAAGGCCAGTTTCATGGCGCCAAATTCCTCTGGGCAGAAAGAATGCATCAGTGAGGCTTTGGCTTCATTGAAAAGCACTGATATGACAGAATACGGTATGTGGAATGTCATGGAACTGGTACTTTAGTGGGTGATGAAATCGAGATCGAATCAATGAAAAGTGTCTATGGGCAGAGGAAAGACCTAACCATCGGATCGGTCAAGGCCAATATTGGACATGGATTTGCTGCAAGTGGAATGGCCGGTCTTTTCAAGGTGATCAAAATTCTTCAGGACCAGATCATTCCTCCACAGATCAACCTAGATTGTCTGCAAGAGGACATTCCATTTCAAATCAACAGGAAGCCCATAGCCCTTGATTCGGGCTCACTGGCGGCAGTGAGTTCGTTTGGGATCGGTGGAACGAATGTTCATATCGTCCTGGAAGGGGCAAAAACCCCTCTTGTCGCTCAACGGTTTCAAACCCAAGATCGACCGTTCATATTCTGCCCATCTCAGGCTTCTCAGAAAAAGCCTGTATAGCCCAGTGTCGAGCCCTTGCCGATTATCTTCGAAGTCGATCTGATATTGATCTGGAAGCTGTCGCTGCCACTCTCCAGCAGAACAGGGATATTTTTAAATATAGAGCAGCATTCGTTGTGAAATCAGTTCCAGAAGCAATCTCCCAGCTGGAGGCATTTAATTCACCGACCACAGCAGTTCCACTGGACAACTCCAACCTGTGCTTCTTCTTCGCTCCACAAGGGGTGCAATACCCGAACATGGAAAAGGCGTCAATGGACTATGCAGAGGTCTTCAAAAGGGAGCTCGAGCGACTGACTGGGCTTGCTTCCAAACTTTTTCAAGAGGATTTCATGGAGATAATGTACCCACAAATTAATCAAGATTCCAATTTGATCCTCGCAGCAAAATATGCGCAAGTGGCCCTTTTCATCATCTCCAGGGCGATAGTTGCCCAGTTGGATTCTTGGGGGATCTCTTCAGATTTTCTCATAGGTCACAGTGTGGGCGAGTATGCAGCTGCCTGCTATGCTGGTATTATGGACGAGTTATCTTGCATGAAACTGCTCAAGGAACGGGGAGAACTAGTGAGCACTACAAAGGAAGCTAGATGCTCGCCTGCTAGGTTCGGTCATGAAGCTCTTCCAGCAGACGTTGAGGTGACCGCTCATCTTTCGGATAACATGAAATGTGTTGTGGGCCCGCCGGGCTCAATCGAGGCCCTGAAGGAGAGACTGCTCGAGAAGGGGATTGCTTTCCGTGAGCTTTCAACTGAACATCGGATTCATTCGTCTATGATGATGTGTTCAAGGAAGATTTCATCAGAGCCGTAAAGAAAATTCATTCCGCGAAGGAACCAAGAAAATCGTATCCAGCATAAATGGAGAAATTATTACTAAGTTCGACTATAATTATTGTTGGAATCACATGCGGAGGCCAGTTGATCTCAAAAAATGCCTAGATACAACTTTGTCTAACACCAAATCAAAGCCGTGGTAGAAATCGGCCCACCTGGCATTGTCAGCTTTGTGGCGATAGCATCTCGACTTCCGCGTATCAGCACGTTTTAGGTCGACGAAGCACGGATCGCATTCCACTGCTGCAATCCCTTGCTATCTTCTGTGGCATATGGTTATGATGTTAAGTTCGCGTAAAGATCTCGGGAGCAGCAATTTGACTAGCTACACGCCCTTCTATCAATTCGAGCAAGTCTCCTGTTGGAGAGAAAGGATCATCAAGGGCTCGACTGCTCGCTACTTCAAGGCTTCTTGGAGCCTTCTTACAAACATCAAGCCGGAACAGGAGCATCGTCATGAGAAGAAGACCTAATTAGATCCATGCAAAGCATGACCGTATCTGTACTGTCCTTCCATCTGCAAGATTTATCTGACAAAGCCATCTGAGGCTTTCGCGTTTACGGGGGAGCAACTTGCTGAATTCTCCCTCATCGTCTACCTCCCGGAGAATGATCTGGCCAACGTGACTGAACCATTCTTTTTGTCCCGAAAAATTTGTCAGGCTCTTGCTCCGCTGCAGAATTCGCGATTCCTAGTGATTTCATCGTCAGGCGACGCCGTTCATTTCACCGCAGTTGGACCAATCAAGCAATACCATCTGGGAGGGACGCGAAAGAACATTTTCGTTGCAAATCCTCAAGGGATCCCTCTGGGACTACTCATTAATAATGTGCTTTCAATGAACGTAGAAGAAGAGGTCCTTTATGCAACACCGGGACACATTCTAAGCATGACCTACGTGGAAGTGGATTGCTCTCAGAAGCACGTGGAAGTAGGAGAAACCGTCGTTGTCATTGGTGGAAGTGGAGCGATCGGCTCAGCATATGTGGACGTTTTGAAGAAAATACCCCAGGTAAAAAACATCGTGGTTACCAGCCGAAGCTCAAAAGGGAGGGTAATACCAGGGGTCTTGCATGTCAACATGGACCTTTGTGATGGGGCCTCGGTAGCTGGTGCCCTCGATGAGGATTAGACGCAGATACGGTACCATAAATAGCATCGTTCACGCTGCGGGTGTTCCGACAGCGCCATCACTAAAGAAGACCACAAAGGACATGCTATCGGTTTTGAACCCAAAGGTCGTTGGGTGTCCTGAATATTCTGGAGTACCTCAGCAGAAAAGATCTCTTCCTTGACAACCTTATAATGGCGTCCTCGTTGAGCAGCACCGTAACCCTTCAAGGGACAGAGGACTACTCAGCGTCAAACCTTTTCATGGACGCAATGGCCATGAAGGGGCATAAAAACGTAAAGCGGATGCTTGCCGTCCAGTGGCCTTCATGGAAAGATGTTGGTATGGCGTCGAATTACGAAAATGACGCTCTGAAGTCCGTAATATCCAAAGCCTCCATCTCTACCCGGATTGGGAAGCGAATAATCAGAGAAACACTGGGGATGAGCGGGGTCGTAACGTATACCCCGGTTCCTCCACCGCAGATGGCCAGAATGGTTGAAGAAATTCAGCTCAAGGGGAGCGCTCGGCAACTGCCAACTGCTAAAGAACATCTCTCATTGACTGATAAGGTGATTTCAATATGGACGGAAATCCTCGGCACCGATGTCCATGAAAAGTCAGATTTCTTTGATAACGGAGGGAACTCCCTGAGCGCCCTGAGGGTTGTCTGGAGTCTCAACAATTTGTTGCGCACCAACATCGCTGTCGACCTTCTCTTCAAACATCCAATTTTGAGTGAATTCGTCAAAGTGCTACCTCAGGAAGTCCCCAAAGAGATTCCCCGAACATTCGATCCCACTTGTCCGGCTGATCTGACATATTCACAGGAAAATATGTTCTTACTGCGGGAACTGGAAAAGGGCATCACTACAATATCATTTTCTCTATTCATTTCCGTAACCCTTCTCCAGAATTCTCTTTCAAGAAGATGATTTATTCCATTCACTCTTATCGCTCGTCAGCACAGCCTTCGTACAGCCTTCGTGAGGGATCCACAGTCGTCAAAGCCAAAGCAAGTGGTACATTCGTTGACGGAATGTTTCCAGCACATCTCATCGGACTGGTTGGTGGGCAACATCTTGGCTGAAGAAGAAAGCTTCGATTTTATCCTGGAAGATATCCCCCTAAGAATTCTCGTGGTGGTCAAACTGACGACGGCTACATAATTGTTTTCAATCAGCATCATATTTTTGACCCAGATGGTTGGTCAGTGACCGTGCTTGCTGCTGAGCTGAAGACATCTACACCTCCTACTCCATAAGGTTATGCCGGGAGTGGAACCTCTTCCTTACTCAATAAGTGAGTACGCCTGTACTCAACGTCAGTACATGAATTTCGCTGAGAATGAAGCATTCACGCGACTACACTACGGTAGGAAGGCACTACTACTCTCAGAGGCAGAGCTGCCTTACGACATCCAGTTTCAAGCAGTTAGATTCAATTGGTCCCGATAGGATTGTTCTTTATGTGAAAACATTAGCAAGGGTCAAATCAGACACGAATTTCGTTGTCGTTCTTTCGGATTCGATATCAGTTGAGAAGGGTTAAATCCAAAAGTAATGAAAATCTATTGTCATCCGGATATCCGCTCGTCGGGCCCAACCCCCCCTGATGCAGCCGTGCAAGACCCTGATCCGGCTTATTCTCCTTAAACCACTCTGCTGACCTGGCCGGTGGATATACGCTGACCGGACATCTGCAGGACGTTATTCTGAAAGTAAAAACCCCGCTAGAGGTGGAGAAAACTCGAGCGGATTCCATTCCATGAACTGGTTGCTGCTCTCGGGAGGCACCACACTGGAGGAAATCATCTGTTCGAGATTTTCTTCAATTATCGTCATCAGCTGGACTTTCCCACCACCGACTTTCCGGGTGCCGATGTGGAAATCGTCCAGGCTTCTATGAACAAGATTTTCAACCTCTCCATCACTTTCGACGAGCTACCGGAAGGCACAAGGGTGATGATGGAGTACAACGCGAGCAAATACCGTACGGACCTGATCCAAGACTTGGTCAGGGATTATGCTGGTAACTTGTCCACAAACAGGCGGTTAAAATGTTCCCCGGCCTCTCTTTCTCGAACAGACTATCCGTCAGCTGTCATTACCCAGTCTTTGAACGATTTTCATGGCAAAGGGGAACAGAATAGCAATACGAAGAAGGAATTCATCTGTAAGCTACCGGAAACTTGACCAGCAAATCTGCTCCATTGCCAGATTCATAGGCGACTTGTGGATCAAGTCCACCGGTTGCTGCATTCGAGGCGATGACGTCGTAATCGTGGATCTCAACTCAAACGATGCAGTCGTAGCGATTTTGGCTATACTCAAACTTGGCACGGCCTACGCCCCAATGGACAAAACCTGGCCCGAGTCGAGGAAAGCTCAAATTGTAGCAAACCTAGAGTGCAGCATGACCATCTCAGACTCAACTCTTGGGAATATCTCGAATCAGGAATATCGGAAGAAGGGGATTCTATTGAATAGAACCGCAAGTAGCGATTTGATTTACGTGATCCACACAAGCGGATCCCTTGGAATCCCAAAAGGTGTTGCCGTGAGCCACCGCAATGTGAGCGCGTTTCTTCGTGGGGCTACACCGCAGGCATTTTTGAGACCGGGTCGTGTTGTTTCCCATTCAGTTAATATCGCCTTTGATGTGAGTGTTTTCAATATCTTTGGGTCGTTAGTGAATGGCTGCGAGCTTTGCATGCACGACGATATTCGCAGGTTACCCGAGGAGCTTGGTGGCCTCCAATGTGACGTCGTTTTCCTTACATCTGCTATGCTCGACGCTCTGACGGACTCTGAACTGAATCAGATCCAGGAACTAGAAGAAACTCTTTGTGGGAGGAGATACAGTCCGCGACAGGAATCTCGCAAAGGTCCTAAAATCCGGTCTCGATGTAACCCAAATCTATGGACCAACAGAGGCTACTGTATGGTCCCTGACAAACAGGTGCAAATTACTTCCCGAAGAGGGCTCACTTATAGGTTCACCGATGCTCAACGAAGCCTGCTGGGTAGCTCAGGGAGCTAAGGAGGGTGAGTTGGTCCTTGCCGGGGCAAAGGTTGCTCGAGGATACTTCAATGCCATTGACAATGATCGTTTCGGTGTTACCAACGGGATGCCATACTATCGTACCGGCGACATTGTCAGAAGCGAGAAAGAGGGATTCATTTACAGAGGAAGACTTGACTCTCAAATGAAAGTTCGTGGCCATCGAATAGAGGGCGAGGAGGTGGAGAAAAAGCTCCTCGAGGCTTCCTCGTTGATTTCGGGAACGAAGGTCGTCGTTATGGACGAGACGCTGGTTGCGTTCATAGTTCACGAAGAGCCTCTAGACTTGGCTGCTGTGCTGGTTAAATTGCAATCGGGTTTACCATCATACATGGTCCCATCGCGATTTATTCGTGTCCCACATATTCCACTTAATACTTCAGGGAAAGTGGACAAAGACAGATTACTGGAGGAGTACAGTAGAACTAGAGACGATTTCCTGCCCTCTGTGGCTATTCAAATGTCTGTGACGGAGGAGAAAGTGGCATCGATTTTCGGAAAACTTTTGAATGTGAAAAATGTGAAGCCTACGGACAATTTTTTCACCATTGGTGGACATTCTCTGCTTCTCTTCGAGCTGAAGAACCAACTACTTACTGTATTCAACATGAACATTGAAGTACATGAACTCTTCACCAATCTTACTGTACAGGAGGTGGCTAAGCTTATCACACAACGGTACAAAGAAAGCCCTGACAAAATCGACACCTCAATCATCATAAAACTTCGTGAAACGCCGGAACCCAAATTTAACATTTATTTAATTCATGCTGTGGGTGGATCTGTATTTCCATATTATGCTTTTCTTCAAGTGTTTCCCAGAAATGTCAACATTTATGCCATCGAATACCAACTGCATTTCGAGGCCGACACAATCAAAGGAACTGGCCGCATTCTACGCAAAAGCGGTTAGCCTCTAAATTTAGCCCTTATGGCTTGCAAAATTTCTTCTTTCAAATTTTACAGGCAAGAGTAAATTCCTTTTCAGATTGCAGCTCACACAGGAGATGTTAGACCTTTTCCAATGGGCCATTCGCTGGGAGGAACTGTGAGCAGGGAAATCGTGACCGAAATGAAGCTATGGGGATGGGAGGTAACGTAGCACGCTTTTGAATTTTTGGATCTTTTTA